CATTTAATATTGACTTCAGGTGTCCCTGGTGGAACTTTCCACGACACTATACTGTACTATAGGTAAACGTTCAGGTGGGCCTTTCTACTTCAGCAAACAAAGGAAAGGAGGGGTGCTCAACAACGACAAAAATCATGAGAAGGCCTTACCAAGAAAAACTTCCAAAAGGACTCATTTGAGGCAGAAAGGAGTTGGAGCACTCAACAAAAGCTATACTCTACATTACTGTATTGAACTATACTTACTGTACTGAATTCTACGAGTTTACTTGTCGTTTCCCCATTTAAAGTGGTCCTTGGTCTGGGTCTCAGAAAGTCTTTGTCTGGGTCTGGATCTAAAGGGTACTGGTCTTGACTTCATCTCTGGTACTCGCACCAATTTTATACTTTTGAATCCATCTTGGTAGTGGACAAGTGCACACTTCACAAAACATTGTAGAGTATTAAGATGCATGGCCAGCAGGGGGCTCCATTCCCTTCAAGAGAGACTTGAAAATGTCAAGCCCAACCGGTCATGGCATTTAAGATATGAACTTCATTTATAATGAATTTAAAGATCTTGGTCTATAAATGCTGTACGTTTCTGAGAATTCGGTTTAGTGGTTTCTGAGGAAAATTAGACAATGTAGGCTACCCCTCTGCCTATTGACATATTTGCATATTCAAGCCTGGCTTTTCAAAGACCGCTTGAAATGTAGCCTACACGTTTTGTGCTCTTGCAGGAAGCAGTAACTCCCCATTGCTGACCTACAGTGAGGGAAAAAAAGTATTTGATCCCCTGCTGATTTTGTACGTTTGCCCACTGACAAAGAAATGATCAGTCTATAATTTTAATGGTATGTTTATTTGAACAGTGAGACACAGAATAACAACAAAGAAATCCAAAAAAACACATGTCAAAAATGTTATAAATTGATTTGCATTTTAATGAGGGAAATAAGTATTTGATCCCCTCTCAATCAGAAAGATTTCTGGCTCCCAGGCTGAAATGGGCTACAAGACCATCGCCAAGCAGCTTGGTGAGAAGGTGACAACAGTTGGTGCGATTATTCGCAAATGGAAGAAACACAAAATAACTGTCAATCTCCCTCGGCCTGGGGCTCCATGCAAGATCTCACCTCGTGGAGTTGCAATGATCATGAGAACGGTGAGGAATCAGCCCAGAACTACACGGGAGGATCTTGTCAATGATCTCAAGGCAGCTGGGACCATAGTCACCAAGAAAACAATTGGTAACACACTACGCCGTGAAGGACTGAAATCCTGCAACGCCCGCAAGGTCCCCCTGCTCAAGAAAGCACATATACAGGGCCGTCTGAAGTTTGCCAATGAACATCTGAATGATTCAGAGGAGAACTGGGTGAAAGTGTTGTGGTCAGATGAGACCAAAATCGAGCTCTTTGGCATCAACTCAACTCGCCGTGTTTGGAGGAGGAGGAATGCTGCCTATGACCCCAAGAACACCATACCCACCGTCAAACATGGAGGTGGAAACATTATGCTTTGAGGGTGTTTTTCTGCTAAGGGGACAGGACAACTTCACCGCATCAAAGGGACGATGGACGGGGCCATGTACCGTCAAATCTTGGGTGAGAACCTCCTTCCCTCAGCCAGGGCATTGAAAATGGGTCGTGGATGGGTATTCCAGCTTGACAATGACCCAAAACACACGGCCAAGGCAACAAAGGAGTGGCTCAAGAAGAAGCACATTAAGGTCCTGGAGTGGCCTAGCCAGTCTCCAGACCTTAATCCCATAGAAAATCTGTGGAGGGAGCTGAAGGTTCAGGTTGCCAAACGTCAGCCTCGAAACCTTAATGACTTGGAGAAGATCTGCAAAGAGGAGTGGAACAAAATCCCTCCTGAGATGTGTGCAAACCTGGTGGCCAACTACAAGAAACGTCTGACCTCTGTGATTGCCAACAAGGGTTTTGCCATCAAGTACTAAGTCATGTTTTGCAGAGGGGTCAAATACTTATTTCCCTCATTAAAATGCAAATCAATTTATAACAATTTTGACATGTGTTTTTATGTTTTTTTTAAATGTTATTCTGTCTTTCACTGTTCAAATAAACCTACCATTAAAATTATAGACTGATCATTTCTTTGTCAGTGGGTAAACGTACAAAATCAGCAGGGGATCAAATACTTATTGGAGGTCTATAACATTTTTTACATGTGTTTTTCTGGAATTTCTGTTGTTGTTATTCTGTCTCTCACTGTTCAAATAAACCTACCATTATAATTTCTATTAGATAAGCCTTTTAAATACATATAACTGAATGGAATGACAGCCAGTTGATTCCTGAAAAATCTTGAAAATCTTGAAATTATTGGAGGTCTAAAGCTCTGTTCCTCCACTGAAACATTAATGACTTGGAGAAGATCTGCAAAGAGGAGTGGAACAAAATCCCTCCTGAGATGTGTGCAAACCTGGTGGCCAACTACAAGAAACGTCTGACCTCAGTGATTGCCAACAAGGGTTTTGCCACCAAGTACTAAGTCATGTTTTGCAGAGGGGTCAAATACTTATAAATTGATTTGCATTTTAATTAGTGAATATAACATTTTTTACATGTGTTTTTCTGGATTTTTGTTGTTGTTATTCTGTCTCTCACTGTTCAAATAAACCTACCATTATAATTATAGACTAATCATGTATTTGTCAGTGGGCAAACGTACAAAATCAGCAGGGGATAAAATACTTTTTTCCCTCACTGTATACTTATCTATAACAGGGCTAATAACTTGCTAACTAGCAAAGAATATCAACAAATGTGCACACGCGCGGCTCTGTGCTCTGATTTGAAAAGGGCATTCACTTGCGGGTGATTGAAAGACCGCTCATGGACTACCCCCGCCAATATAATTATTCTCCGTTGCAGTCTTGCTCTGCCTGCAACAACATCACAGACTCAATCTTGCGAAGTTGTTTTGGTTTGTTGCATTGAAAGGGGGGTGATATAATGTTGCATCGATCACAGAAAAAACATTGATCTATATATAGTGCAAACTAATGGGGTGAACTCAGTGTGAAGTTCTATCTCATGGCATTTATTCTGAGCGGCAGTGCTGGAGGAAGCGCGAGGTCGCGTTCAGCTTAGAGTGAACATTGTTCCAGCCCCTTCGGGGCTTGTACCCCTAATAAGTAATTGAAGTATGAAGTATGCTTCACAAACTCACTCATTCAAATATAATTATGTATGCCTATTTCAACAGTTTTGACAGTTACAGTGAGGGAAAAAAGTATTTGATCCCCTGCTGATTTTGTACGTTTGCCCACTGACAAAGAAATGATCAGTCTATAATTTTAATGGCAGGTTTATTTGAACAGTGAGAGATAGAATAACAACAAATAAATCCAGAAAATCGCATGTCAAAAATGTTATACATTGATTTGCATTTTAATGAGGGAAATAAGTATTTGACCCCCTCTCAATCAGAAAGATTTCTGGCTCCCAGGTGTCTTTTATACAGGTAACGAGCTGAGATTGGGAGCACACTCTTAAAGGGAGTGCTCCTAATCTCAGCTTGTTACCTGTATAAAAGACACCTGTCCACAGAAGCAATCAATCAATCAGATTCCAAACTCTCCACCATGGCCAAGACCAAAGAGCTCTCCAAGGATGTCAGGGACAAGATTGTAGACCTACACAAGGCTGGAATGGGCTACATGACCATCGCCAAGCAGCTTGGTGAGAAGGTGACAACAGTTGGTGCGATTATTCGCAAATGGAAGAAACACAAAAGAACTGTCAATCTCCCTCGGCCTGGGGCTCCATGCAAGATCTCACCTCGTGGAGTTGCAATGATCATGAGAACGGTGAGGAATCAGCCCAGAACTACACGGGAGGATCTTGTCAATGATCTCAAGGCAGCTGGGACCATAGTCACCAAGAAAACAATTGGTAACACACTACGCCGTAAAGGACTGAAATCCTGCAGCGCCCTCAAGGTCCCCCTGCTCAAGAAAGCACAAATACAGGCCCGTCTGAAGTTTGCCAAAGAACATCTGAATGATTCAGAGGAGAACTGGGTGAAAGTGTTGTGGTCAGATGAGACCAAAATCGAGCTCTTTGGCATCAACTCAACTCGCTGTGTTTGGAGGAGGAGGAATGCTGCCTATGACCCCAAGAACACCATCCCCACCGTCAAACATGGAGGTGGAAACATTATACTTTGGGGGTGTTTTTCTGCTAAGGGGACAGGACAACTTCACCGCATCAAAGGGACGATGGACGGGGCCATGTACCGTCAAATCTTGAGTGAGAACCTCCTTCCCTCAGCCAGGGCATTGAAAATGGGTCGTGGATGGGTATTCCAGCATGAAAATGACCCAAAACAGACGGCCAAGGCAACAAAGAAGTGGCTCAAGAAGAGGCACATTAAGGTCCTGGAGTGGCCTAGCCAGTCTCCAGACATTAATCCCATAGAAAATATGTGGAGGGAGCTGAAGGTTCGAGTTGCCAAACGTCAGCCTCGACACCTTAGTGAGGAGTGGGACAAAATCCCTCCTGAGATGTGTGCAAACCTGGTGGCCAACTACAAGAAACGTCTGACCTCTGTGATTGCCAACAAGGGTTTTGCCACCAAGTACTAAGTCATGTTTTGCAGCAGAGGGGTCAAATACTTATTTCCCTCATTAAAATGCAAATACATTTATAACATTTTTGACATGCGTTTTTCTGCATTTTGTTGTTGTTATTCTGACTCTCACTGTTCAAATAAACCTACCATTAAAATTTGAGACTGATCATGTCTTTGTCAGTGGGCAAACATACAAAATCAGCAGGGGATCAAATACTTTTTTCCCTCACTGTATTTTCAGGACGGTCTTCATCCATAACTATCGGTTACACGTCACAGCCCTAACATGTGCATACAAGGCAGTGTTGGGACCTCATAATGGTGTCCAATATTTAGTACAGAAAACCTTTGTGATTCTCATAGGGGTGTGTGCATTTTTCCCTTTGATAGTTCAATAGCTCCGATTAGCCTTGAGATTTAACTACAAGATCCAGAAGGCAGTGCTGTGTGATACATACCGACAGTGGAGGCAGGAATCTGGGAAGTGTAGTGTGTAGTGCCAGCTGTGGCAGGATACGAGTTTGCACTAGGGTATGGGTACCCCGGATAGCCACTGGAGAGAAAACAAACACTGCATCATCAACCAACAGCCATCCTGCCATCAAAACACAGCTATGCTGTTAATCAAAGCTTAATTTAATGTAATCTAATTTCATCTTTTGAACTATATGGGGCACTGAAAGAGAGGGAACTGCTTCAGTCATTGGTTTATTGAGTGTGATGATTCAACCAGACAGACATGCCTATGTGGCTGTGTTGCTTATGTAAGCCCAAAGACAAACATGTCAGAACTGGTTCGTTGAGAGTGAGAGGGACTGGCTGTGAGAGGCAGACTATTAGAGGAAATTGTGGCCTTGCAGACAGACATCTTACCCAGGGTTGGGGTTTGGTCCATACGGGGAGACCACTGGCATACCTGGCATGTAGGATGCTGTGAATAGAGGGTCAGGTTACACATTGAACATGTCATCTCAGCTTTCCATCTTTCACAATGTGCGTGGATGCCATCTGGAGTCCAATAGGAGGAACTGCACGTGTTTGCAAGAACGATTCAGGGCAACATTTTACAAAGCGTAAAAATGACCATAAACCTCATTATAATCTTGAGGCGTGATTTAATTTGAAACCTTTCTTTAACAATGTTCTTTATAAAAGATGCGACTACGTATTTCTCAGTTTAAACTCTAGTTAAATAATCGCTTGCTTATAATGCACAGTTGAAGAAACTTTTGAAATTAAATCACAATGCCAAGACTATAATGACGTTAATGGTATTTTCGTACTTTACACAATGTTTTTGCACTACGAAAATGTCGCCCTAAGTCTCACGTATTATATGGAGAAACAGAGTTCATGTTTACGCAGAGACAAAATTCAAATTATTACAATGACCGACCTATCCGTACAGCACTGATTAATGCTATTCATACTGCAGTGTTCCTAAAATCATTCCTTGAAGACCCCCAGACATTTCACAGTTTTGTGGCCTGAACTAGCACACCCGATTCAACTAGTCAAAGGCTTGATGATTAGTTGACAAGTTCAATCAGGAATGCTAGCTCTGGAATACAAAACGATGCAATACTGAACAGGTAACTTACGATTGGGGGGTCCGGCAGCCTGGAAGGCCTGGTAGGGGGCCTGTGTGGTGGGGCGGGAGAACACGGGGGGCTCCTCCCCAAACACCACGATCATCACCTGGATCAGACCATACAGGTCGGACTGGGGCTGGGGAGAGAAAAATCAACAGAACTTTATTGTCCAAATGGAGATGGACAACTGTGATAGGCTTCACCTCATACAGATAACATGAGCTCATCTCATCACGTTGTTAAAGCAGGGCTAACATGTGGCACTGGTACCACTAACTGTTGTCAGTTGATGGCACCAGCCCATGATTTGTAGGGCCCTATACAATTGTTTTTATTTTTATTTTAAACCAACATTCCATTAAGTTTTTCCAGGTTTCCATTTCCCCCCGTCTTTTTAGTTTTTCACTCTAAAAAAATATTACAAACAACTAAGTTGGAGGTTCCACATCCACAACAATGCTTAAACCACATCGGGAGACAACTTTTGAAGTCTGGGAAATTATTTTCGAAATTTAGATTGTAGGGTTTAGTTTAATTCCAGTGTGCACCTAGCAAGAGGCTGTTGTTTATCAGAGTTTTTGTGATCTCATTCTGCCAGGTAAGCATATGCTACTTAGTAGTCAACATTTAATTGAGGTTTTTGGGAAAACCTTTCCATCTACACAAAGTGCTAGACGTTAGCACCGCACATAGACAGGGGGAAGTCTCATTGCTTCTTCAGAAAGTTGCAGGAAATACAACTCACTGATGCACTGTTCATTTCTTATGATAAACTTCGGCAAATTAATAAATGTTCCAATACATTTAGTTGATTCCCTACAAAGTTCAATACATTTTTGAATATTGTTGAATTCCGTTTTAAATGACTCCATCCGTGTTCTCTGCATAGCAGATTTAATAGGGCCCTAGATTTGATGACACCCCCAAACATTTTTTTGCAGTGTCACACAGTAGAATACATTTGACTCATTATCTTAGAAAGTCATTCGCAATGCTTTATTAAAAAGTAAGGATGTTAACCGTTAAATCGGTTAGCAGGAGAAAATACATTTGACCGGTCATGCTTATCGATCTATAGGTTAATTTGCATAATTTGGGGGAATTAAATTGGCGCATGTGTATTTTCGTTAGTCCTCATGCATTTGATTTATCACACACAGCATACAGAGCCTAGTTCGAGGACCGGAATTGCCAACCACCTGTCAGACAGCGCGAGAGTAGCTCCTCAAAAAGCCTCTAGTCAACTGGGGGGAAACCTGCTTTTGTAAGCCCAGTCATTGCGCAACAAATAATAATTCTAAACGCAATCGCGTGTTAAAAACTTTGGTGGCCACGATTAAAAAGGAGCTATTTTTATTTCTCGATCTCAACTCAAAGTGCGCCTCCCATTCGGATGCATAGGCTATAGCCTGACTACTGTTGACTATCAGCGCGTCACCCACCACTTAGCAATGAGAGCTTGAGTCAGTATAATTGTTTGAAACCTAAACTTTTTACTTTACTTCAAATAATGAGGTTTGTCTTACCAATTGCTTCAAAGTAGCCTTGCGAAAATCAATCCATAGAAATGTGGAGGCAATGATTTTATAAAGACTTCCTCATGCCATTAATCAGCATTTCTCTCCTTTTCTATTGGTTTTCATATCAACTTTATTTTGTTGTCCAGAAGCCAAAGGCACAATCCTAGTCATATTAGCAACCCATCATAGTAGTTGCTATTAGATTCCTTCTCTTTCTAAATGTATAATGGAGATTTTAATCTCTGTCACATATGGAATTGCTCGCATTAGATGCGCTGTTTAAAACGTTGTTTTCAACTAATTGCATTTTGGCAAATGTTTGAAAACTACTTTTTATTAGCTTCTTCATTACAAGAGTTGTATGTTCAATAACTAAGTGATAATGCCCTCGAAGCCAGTGTTTGGAGAAACCGTGCCAATATATCCTCCAAACACCAGCTTTGAGGGAATTATCACTTTTATACAACGGGTTACCAACATATTGAAATAATGATTGACATATTTTCATTAAAAACGTTATTTTGATGAATTTATTCATACTATTTCATCCTTCCACGGGATATAGTCCCGACACAAATCTAAGGTTGGTACCCATTCATAACAATTAGCTAATGAGTTTCTAATGATTCGCCAGGCATAGAAACTGTGCTCTCTCGTCAGGACACTGTTGTTCAGAGGAGCTAGCCAACGACACAGCTAACACATTCACTTCAAACTGAAGCTGGAAAGACCGCAAACTTGCTGCATTTCATTTTGATTTACCTGTTTTCTATTGATATTACTTTGTATACATCAATAAAAATGATGCTAGCTGATTCATGATTTAGACTGGCTGAGAAACGCTGCCTGCCTGTCTGTCTATTCCCGACTCCCGCCACATTCATTACTATGGACAGCTGGAGATCGAATTGCAATATTGAAACAATGTTGCAAATGTTGGAGAGACAGACCGCAAGGTTTATACAAATCTCTGCTATTGAAAACTAAATGTTAGTCTAAAAGAAATGTGAGAATGTCTAGATGCTTTTTATAGTGGAGATCAAGTTTATAAATTGCCTGGTTGGGCTGATGAGACAGTGGAATAGAGTAAATAGGCATTTCAACGTCATAGCTTTAGCCGGTGGTAACTTGTGGATTAGCCGGTGGTAACTTGCGGTTTAAACCAATCAGCATCCAGGATTACACCCACCCGTTGTATAATATGCTATAGCCTTTTGACTGTAAGACAATAGGCTTGCTATTGTTGCATGTTTCCATTAAGCTCTTAAATGAAAAATGTCCAGTCCTTGTATGCATGCATAGTATCAGAGAGGAAGAGGTGAAGCGAAAGGTTTCACTCTCGCCAAAATCTGTCCAAAATAAGTCCAATGCATTTCTATGGGCTTATTTTGGGCCTAAGCTTGAAAAAATGTTTGCTGTTTGTTGACCAGTTAATGAGGGTCAGTTAGTCGGCAGCAAAATTGACCGAAATTCGCATCCCTATTGTGAAGTGTAATAGACTACTGACATGATATGCAAGAAATACGTTACATTAACACACGTGTCAAACTCATTCCACGGAGGGCCGAGTGTCTACAGATTTTCGCTCCTCCCTTGTACTTGATTAATGAATTTATGTCACTAATTAGTAAAGAACTCCCCTCACCCGCAGATACTAAGCCCTCAATGGAATGAGTTTGACGCCCTTGATCTAACATGTCCAAGCAGGAATGCAAGATTCCAAATATTTTTATATGCAAACCTAATCCAGTGATTGTCATGAATTTTCGGGTTGACAATTAGGCTATTTTTGTTATACGTTATTGTCAAAATAGGGCTACAGAAGAGATTAAATTTGCCTTCATCTTTAGGTTCACTATTATTATGTACAGGCCTAATTCAATTGGTACTATTTCACCACCTGAGGAAGTGGAAACTCAAAACATAAAGAAACGTCCTCTCACTGTCAACTGCGTTTATTTTCAGCAAACTTAACATGTGTAAATATTTGTATGACCATAAGATTCAACAACTGAGACAAACTGAACAAGTTCCACAGACATGTTACTAACAGAAATTGAATAATGTGTCCCTGAACAAAGGGGGGGTCAAAATAAATCAAAAGCAACAGTCAGTATCTGGTGTGGCCACCAGCTGCATTAAGTACTGCAGTGCATCTCCTCCTCGTGGACTGCACCAGATTTGCCAGTTCTTGCTGTGAGATGTTACCCCACCCTTCCACCAAGGCACCTGCAAGTTCCCTGACATTTCTGGGGGGAATGGCCCTAGCCCTCACCCTCCGATCCAACAGGTCCCAGACGTGCTCAATGGGATTGAGATCCGGGCTCTTTGCTGGCCATGGCAGAACACTGACATTCCTGTCTTGAAGGAAATCACGCACAGAACGAGCAGTATGGCTGGTGGCATTGTCATGCTGGAGGGTCATGTCAGGATGAGCCTGCAGGAAGGGTACCACATGAGGGAGGAGGATGTCTTCCATGTAACGCACAGCATTGAGATTGTCTGAAATGACAACAAGCTCAGTCCGATGATGCTGTGACACACCGCCCCAGACCATGACAGACCCTCCACCTCCAAATCGATCCAGAGTACAGGCCTCAGTGTAACGCACATTCCTTCTACGATAAACGCGAATCCGACCATCTCCCCTGGTAAGAAAAAACCGCGACTTGTCAGTGAAGAGCACTTTTTGCCAGTCCTGTCTGGTCCAGCGACGGTGGGTTTGTATCCATAGGTGACGTTGTTGCCGGTGATGTCTGGTGAGGTCATGCCTTACAACAGGCCCTCCAGCCTCTCTCAGCCTATTGCGGACAGTCTGAGCACTGATGGAGGGATTGTACGTCCCTGATGTAACTCGGGCAGTTGTTGTTGCCATCCTGTACCTGTCCCGCAGGTGTGATGTTCGGATGTACCGATCCTGTGCAGGTGTTGTTACACGTGGTCTGCCACTGCGAGGATGATCAGCTGTCCGTCCTGTCTCCCTGTAGCGCTGTCTTAGGCGTCTCACAGTACGGAAATTGCAATTTATTGCCCTGGCCACATCTGCAGTCCTCATGCCTCCTTGCAGCATGCTTAAGGCACGTTCACGCAGATGAGCAGGGACCCTGGGCATCTTTCTTTTGGTGTTTTTCAGAGTCAGTAGAAAGGCCTCTTAAGTGTCCTAAGTTTTCATAACTGTGACATTAATTGCCTACCATCTGTAAGCTGTTAGTGTCTTAACGACCGTTCCACAGGTGCATGTTCATTAATTGTTTATGGTTCATTGAACAAGCATGGGAAACAGTGCTTAAACCCTTTAAAATGAAGATATGTGAAGATATTTTGATTTTTATGAATTTTCTTTGAAAGACAGGGTCCTGACAAAGGGACGTTTCTTTTTTTATAAATATAACTCCTACTGCTAGTGGCCATGTATTAATCTAACAGTAAATGTAATGTCCCCCAAAAAACGTTGCAATGAGGCCTAGTGCACTCGCAATGGCCGATGCGCAAATTTGTGAGCTCCGTATTTCAAAGCCCTATCAGATATTTTGAGAAAAAAATGTTTTACCTACAGAACGCTGAGACCCTCCTCTCTTTAATATACATTTACGTCATTTAGCAGACGCTCTTATCCAGAGCGACTTACAAATTGGTGCATTCACCTTATGATAGCCAGTGGGACAACCACTTTACCAATTATTATTTATTTTTTTATCAATTGTTTTAGTTTTTAGTTCTTCTTTCATTTTTTGTTATTTATCTTAGTTTCTTTTTTTATTTATTTTTTTTATATATTTTTGTGGGGGGGGGGTAGAAGGATTACTTTTATACTATCCCAGGTATTCCTTAAAGAGGTAGGGTTTCAAGTGTCTCCGGAAGGTGGTCAGTGACTCCGCTGTCCTGGCGTCGTGAGGGAGCTTGTTCCACCATTGGGGTGCCAGAGCAGCGAACAGTTTTGACTGGGCTAAGCAGGAACTGTGCTTCCGCAGAGGTAGGGGGACCAGCAGGCCAGAGGTGGAAGAACGCAATGCCCTCGTTTGGGTGTAGGGACTGATCAGTGCCTGAAGGTAAGGAGGTGCCATTCCCCTCACAGCTCTGTAGGCAAGCACCATGGTCTTGTAACAGATGCGAGCTTCAACTGGAAGCCAGTGGAGTGTGCGGAGGAGCGGGGTGACGTGAGAGAACTTGGGAAGGTTGAACACCAGACGGGCTGCAGCGTTCTGGATGAGTTGTAGGGGTTTAATGGCACAGGCAGGGAGCCCAGCCAACAGCGAGTTGCAGTAATCCAGACGGGAGATGACAAGTGCCTGGATTAGGACCTGTGCCGCTTCCTGTGTAAGGCAGGGTCGTACTCTCCGAATGTTGTAGAGCATGAACCTACAGGATCGGGTCACCGCCTTGATGTTAGCGGAGTATTTACGGTTTTAAATAGTGAGCCAACATGTTTTCAGCACTTTTATTTCTCTGACTGATCAAAACTAGTTTTCTAATGGTCTTTGTCTCTCTGTAGCAGACATACTGGAACATCAAATCGCAATATCGAATTGCAATACATATAGAATCGTGAGAATCGCAATACACATCGGCACCCAAGTATCGTGATACCGTATCTGGAGGTCGCAGGCAATTCCCAGCCCTAACTAAAAATATAACTTGCACAGCCAATTCAAAGGGTCTCAAAATGTGACTAAATGGCTGCAGTCTGGAGCCCTGTTAAAGGGGCAATCTGTGATTGTTACATAAAATGTTGGGACTTTTAAATGAATGATATACCCTGACCTTAGTTCAACTATCGAACCCCATCAGAACCCAAAATATGCTAGCTAGTTTTATTCCAATGTAATTGTAAACAAATACTGTATAGCCACTAAACATGTTTAAAAGTATAATTTTGATATCATGGATGTTCAGTCCTTGCATGCAGAGCTCGGTCTATGAATTTGAGTGGTTACATTTCTCAAGCTCCATCCCTCAGCTTTTTCCCAAAACAGTGGCGGGGTGGATTTTTTATTGTTTGAACTGTATATTTCCCCTTTAAAGCAGTCCAACATTCAATTTGTTTCCCTATTCCATATTATCCGTGTGAGATCCATCGGAAACTAGGTACAGAGACATTGGTTCAGCAATAAATGAAGAGTAATAGATTGTGCGTCTAATTTGTTTTTCACACTCTGAAAAAAACGGTATAATATAGCCTACACTACAACACTGGGGACGACGCTGTTACTAACATGTTTCCACTCGTGCAGATAGGGCAGGTAGATCTTGCCGTTGGCGTCAATGTGTTTGCCCGTCTTGATCATCATGGCACTGGTGGGCTTCACAAAACAGATGGGAGGGTTGTAGGGGTAGGTGTCCAGCAGCCATAGACACACTGGGATGTTATATATGTTTCCTAATGGACAAGAGGTGAGAGGAGGAAAATATATAAGGCCTTGTGAAACAGACAGTTGCTCAAATAGCAAATACTTCTATATTGACACAATCTCAGAACGGGTACAATAGGGTCTTGTTAATCAGGACACACAACAGAAAATGTTTGAAACAGACAATGGAAATTAGTGTTTCTTATTGGACAAGTTCAGGTAGTCCCTCTCTGTTTGGTGCCTATGAACACGACCCTTGTCATTACTTTTTTTGTCAGATCGATAGTGATATACCACCAAACTTAGCCTACCTCTGTAGCTGACTGGCACTGTTCCTGTTAAGCTCATCAGAGTTCTAGTGGAGCCATCATTGAAAACTGAGGACAGAAAATATCCACTCAATAAAACAAATCAGACAAGCATACAATAACACGTTTTATGTGATATGGGACACTGCGGTGAACCATGTACTGTACACGTTATTTTTTTCTTAACCATTTTTCTCCCCAATTTCGTTCTTACCATAGGAATCCATAACAGGCTTCAGGTCCTTGTACTGGGAGATGACGTTGGTTATCTCACGAACAGTCAGGTCCCTGTATTTGTATTGCTGAACAGTGGAAATATGAGTGATTTAATGTTGCTGAATGTCAATGTCTTAAGGCAGTGATTGTAGTCTGGACAATAGAACGACTCAAAATTCACCCAAGGCTGAAAAACGGCAATAGAACGTTGGCTAAACTGGAACACTAGCGCGAGCCCATAGCAAATGAATTGAATCGAACGTTCGCCAAGCCTATTTTGACTGGAACTTTGGTTAGAATTCCATTTCGCCTAAAATGGCACCAAAAAATGTATCACTTTTCATATTACCAATGCAATCTGTTCTTATGACGAAACTGAAAGAAAAAAAACTCGTGTAGAAAGTAAACATCTGCACCTCGATGGTGTCAACTGTGCGTATGTCTGCGTAATGAGGAAGTAGGGGAAAAAATGAAAACTTCTGAATTTTTCTGGTCTAGTGATCGATGACAACCTAGCTCGCTGCCCAGACTTACATAAAGAGGAGATTCTCCTGATTAAAATGGTGTCCAACTTGAAAAAAATCTAAATATACACATTGCGAAATAGACAGAAATACCTATATTTCACCTATAGAAAACAATGGGATGAGTAATTTTTTGTTGTTGTTGACGTTAACTACCGGGAGTAGAACGTTCTGAAGGCGAGTATATTTGAAAGTCGCTCTGGATAAGAGCGTCTGCTAAATGTTTAAATGTAAATGAGTCCGTACGGTGTTCAATAGAACTAATAGGAACTAGCAGGGTGAAAAATTACCTAAATAAGGTCTGTTTTTTCGTGATTACTTCAAAACTACGACAATCAGCTGGGACGTGTGGTAATATTATGAAACTGGGCTCCACGGCGGATGCAATTAACTAGTTTTTATCATTAAAAAAGCGTTGTTAAAAATGTAATGTCTCCAGCCTAGTGATTGGTTAAGCCAGGTAAATAGCCAGCTAGCTGACGTTAGTTATCTGGCTAGAAAACACTAGCTAGGTAACGTTAACATTAACTATAATCATAAATTATCAAACATTATACGTTAAAAATCACGTTATAAATATGTTCTAATTGTCTAATCCTAACACTAGTTATTTGGTAGCTATATAACATTAGACAAATATTTGTAGAGGCTCTTTAGAGCTAGCTACCACTAGCTAGCGCGCTTAGCTAGCCGAAAGGCTAACAATGTTAGCAAACACATTTAGTTTGGTAGAATCGTTGCTTACCTTGAGCATTTTCTTCAATGCGCCTTCGTTGACAACTGCCATAATTGATTGTGTAATATGATGTCCTTCAGATTAACTACCTAGGTTTAGCTAGCTACTTTATTTATTTTAGAATGACAACTAGCTAGTTAGCTGGCACTCGGCTTATGTAGTCCTGTCAAATAAAATACTCGTTTCGACACGAGTACTGTGTATAATTGTTCTGTTTAGCTAAACGTTAACTGCTTAAAAATATATTTATGAAGACACAAATGTAACGCAATAATCAGAAATACTGATGCGATTCAATGATCACCGCTGTGAAGAACACCGTCTCGTCAACAACACTAAAATAAAAGTACTTCCGGGTCTTCTTCTTCTTCGATGAGGTTTAACTGCGGTTGGCATCCAATAAATGTTGCATTACCCCCACCAACTAGACTGGTGTATTGTTGTATCTTCTTGTCTAAGAAATACTAAAGAAAACAACTGTTCTTTAAAACATACAGTACCAGTCAAAAGTTTGGACACACCTACTCATTCCAGGGTTTTTCTACATTGTAGAATAATAGTGAAGACATCAAAACTATGAAATAACACATATGGAATCATGTAGTAACCAAAAAAGTGTTAAACAAATCAAAATATATTCTTCAAATAGCCACCCTTTGCCTTGATGACAGCTTTGCACAATCTTGGCATTCTCTCAACCAGCTTCACCTGGAATGCTTTTCCAACAGTCTTGAAGGAGTTCCCACATATGCTGAGCACATTGGCTGCTTTTCCTTCACTCTGCGGTCCGACTCATCCCAAACCATCTAAATTTGGTTGAGGTTGGGGATTGTGGAGGCCAGGTCATCTGATGCAGCACTCTATCACTCTCCTTCTTGGTCAAATAGCCCTTACACAGCCTGAAGGTGTGTTGGGTCATTGTCCTGTTGAAAAACAAATGATAGTCCTACTAAGCCCAAACCAGATGGATGGCGTATCGCTGCAGAATGCTGTGGTAACCATGCAGGTTAAGTGTGCCTTGAATTCTAAATAAATCACAGACAGTGTCACCAGTAAAGCATCCCCACACCATAACACCTCCAACTCCATGCTTTACGGTGGGAAATACACATGCAGAGGTCATCCATTCACCCACACCGCGTCTCACAAAGACACGTCGGTTTGAACCAAAAATCTCTAATGTGGACTCCAGACCAAAGGACAGATTTCCACCAGTATAATGTCCATTGCTCATGTTTCTTGGCTCAAGCAAGTCTCTTCTTCTTATTAGTGTCCTTTAGCAGTGGTTTCTTTGCAGCAATTTGACCATGAAGGCCTGATTTGCACAGTCTCCTCTGAACAGTTGATGCTGAGATGTGTCTGTTCCCACGGGGGGGGGGGGGGGGGGGGGGGGGGGGGGGGGGCGCAGTATGAAAAATGTATGCACTCACTAATTGTAAGTCGCTCTGGATAAGAGCGTCTGCTAAATTACAAAAATGTCAAAATGTCTGTTACTTGAACTCTGTGAAGCATTTATTTGGGCTGCAATTTCTGAGGCTGGTAACTCTAATGAACTTATTACATTTACATTTACATTTTAGTCATTTAGCAGACGCTATCCTCTGCAACAGAGGTAACTCTGGGTCTTCCATTCCTGTGGCGGTCCTCTTGAGAGCCAGTTTCATCATAGCGCTTGATGGTTTTTGCGACTGCACTTGAAGAAACTTTCACATTTTCCGTATTCACTGACCTTCATGTCTTAAAGTAATGATGGACTGTCGTTTCTCTTTGCTTATTTGAGCTGTTCTAATATGACTTGGTCTTTTACCAAATAGGGCTATCTTCTGCTTAACACTTTTTTGGTTACTACATTAATCCATATGTGTTATTTCATAGTTTTTCTACAATGTAGAAAATAGTAAAAATAGAGAAAAACCCTTGAATGAGTAGTTCTTCTAATACTTTTGACCAGTAGTGTATGTTCTTCTTTATTCAAGTTAACCGGAGCCATACAAGCGTCGTGCATTGACCTGGGATCTCCTGTCCTCCCACTCCTCTGCGCGGGCTGCACTTCACCTAAGTGGTCACGTGCCCTCTGATACAATATGCCACAGGTATAAATCCCTTATACTTTGCGCGGAAAAAGGGAAAAGGGAAACAATTAAAAATGAATAAACGAATACGCTACCATATAACCCTACACTAATAAAAAATCCACCACCCTATTCCAGTTTTTTTTGCTGTTGTTGGTAATTTTACCCCCTTTTTTTTTCTCCCCAATTTCGTGATAGCCTTTTTCCCACCTTAGTTTGTGGGATCTTGTTTCTGGTTAGCAGCTGCGTAGCCTGCAGAACTTTACGTTTGTTTGTATTTTGATCTGTATTCAGTTGATTTATTAAAATGTTCGCATACCACGCTGCACCTTGGTCCGAGCCGTCTATCAACGAGCGTGACAGAAGATCCCACCACCAACGGACCAAGCAGCGTGGCCAGGAGGAGCAGACATGCTGGACACAGGTGGGAAAGACATTCTGGACATGGGAGGAGATATTGGCCGGTAAGGGACCCTGGGCGAAGGAAGAAGCCCAGACAGGAAAGGATCAATGGCGACATCGTAGTTCAAGACCGCAAAGGGAGCCCGAGAGGCAGCCCCAATAAAAAATGTTGGGGGGGGCACACGGTGTGGTTGGCGAAGCAGCAGGAGGCCCTGAAAGGGCTGACTGTGGAGGAGGAGGAGGCCGCTATGATAGAGGCCCTCCAAGACCTGCAGCTCAGCACTCTGAGAGAGGAGACCACCACCTTACGGGGGCTGTTAGCTAAGAGGGAGCAGGAGATCTCCCTTCAGAGGGAGGCGGTGCAGGAGGCCCACAGGGAGAAGGAGTCAGTGGATGCACTGAGAGAGGAGCTGGCCAGGCAACAGGAGGAGCTGAGAGAGGAGTTAACCCTCCAGCAGCAGAGAACTCAGTCCTTAGAGCAGAGGCTGGCGGAGCCAGGTTTCAGAGAAGAGCCAACACTCCGCACTCGCGTTAAGGAGCGTGGGACCGTTCAGGCACCCTGTTATGCGGTGATACGCACTGTGTCTCCAGTGCGCATTCACAGCCCGGTGCGCTTGGTGCCCGCGCCCCGCTCTTGCCGGGCTAAAGTGAGCGTCCAGCCAGGACGGGTTGTGCCTGCTTCTTGCACCAGACCAGTGGTGCGTGTCCCCAGCCCGGTACGGCCGTGCCTGCTCCTCGCACCAGACCTGTGGTGCGTGTCCCCAGCCCGGTACGGCCCGTGCCTGCTCCTCGCACCAGACCAGTGGTGCGTGTCCCCAGCCCGGTACGGCTGTGCCTGCTCCTCGCACCAAACCAGTGGTGAGTGTCTCCAGTCCGGTACGGCCCATGCCTGCTCCTCGCACCAAACCAGTGGTACGTGTCTCCAGTCCGGTACAGCCCATGCCTGCTCCTCGCACCAAACCAGTGGTGCGTGTCTCCAGTCCGGTACAGCCCATGCCTGCTCCTCGCACCAAACCAGTGGTGCGTGTCCCCAGTCTGGTACGGCCCGTTCCAGTGCCACGCACCGAACCTCCAGCGATTGTCCTCTGCTCCACCCTGGTGCCAGAGCAGTCCGCTCCACTGGTGCCTAGTCCAGCTCCGGTCAGCTGGTCTAGTCCGGTGCCAGAGCAGTCCGCTCCACCCGTGCCTAGTCCAGCTCCGGTCAGCTGCTCCACCCCGGTGCCAGAGCAGTCCGCTCCACTGGTGCCTATTCCAACTCCGGTCAGCTGGTCCAGTCCGGTGCCAGAGCATTCTGCTCCACCGGTGCTTAGTCCAACTCCGGTCAGCTGCTCCAGTCCAGTGCCAGAGCAGTCCACTCCACCGGGGTCCAGTTCAGCTCCGGTCAGAGCCGGGGCAGTCCGGGTCCGGTCGTCTACTCTCCCCCCATGCCGGAGCCATCCGCTCCACCGGGGTCCGAGCCGGAACCAGACGTCAACCCCTCTCCAGGGTCGGGACCTCCCACACCAGGGTCCAGACAGGGCTTGGTGCATCGCGGAAGGACTGCCGGGCCGGAACCAGATGTCAACCCCTCTCCAGGGTCGGGGCTTCCCACACCAGGGTCCAGACAGGGCTTGGTGCATCGTGGGAGGACTGAGAGGGGAAGCATTGCGCCGGGGTTTAGACCGGACCGGGTGTGCAACAGGGAGGCAGGAAGGGAGAAGAGGTTAATACCGATGTCGCCGCCCGAAGCCGGAGCCGCCACCGAGGCTAGATGCCCACCCGGACCCTCCCCTAATGAGTCAGGTTGTTGCGGCCGGAGTACGCACCTTTGGGGGGGGGTACTGTCACGCCTTGGCCTTGGCGATCCCTGTTATTCTCTAGTTGGTTAGGTCAGGGTGTGATTTGGGTGTCTATTCTAGGTGTTCTATTTCTTTGTTGGCCGGGTGTGGTTCCCAATCAGAGGCAGCTGTCGATCGTTGTCTCTGATTGGGGATCATACTTAGGCAGCCTTTTTCCCACCTTAGTTTGTGGGATCTTGTTTCTGGTTAGCAGCTGTGTAGCCTGCAGAACTTTACGTTTGTTTGTATTTTGTTGTTTTGATCTGTATTCAGTTGATTTATTAAAATGTTTGCATACCACGCTGCACCTTGGTCCGAGCCGTCTATCAACGAGCGTGACAAATCATTCTATATGGAATACAGTGCCTTCGGAAAGTATTCAGACCCCTTCCTTTTTTCCAACAACACAGCTACATACATAAATCCTGACTTCCAATCACAACTTCTTAACACGACCAAACACCTACTGACCACCACTAATGACCACAACTCCTTACAACAACCACAAAACTACTGACAGCAACCACACTACTACTGACCACAACTACTGACTACAATTACTGACCACAACCACACAACTACTGATCAGACAACTACAACTTCCAATCACAACTTCTTAACACGACCAAACACCTACTGACCACCACTAATGACCACAACTACTTACAACAACCACAAAACTACTGACAGCAATCATACTACTACTGACCACAACTACTGACTACAATTACTGACCACAACCACACAACTACTGATCAGA